CGGAGTTTCTATGGTGACCAAATTTAACCAATCCCCATTGATAGAATAATACTTACTGCTCCAAAAAATGGTGCTTGATGTACAACACCGGTACCAGTATCATCTGTTACGTAGTTATCATTCAATATACGGAAAGCACCTTGCTTCTTGTACTGAAAATAAAATACTCAACGTAAGAATACAAATATACTGTCAACCACTGGTAAGTTGACAACAGACAAATTTCCAAATGTCAGTAAAAATTGTGAAATAACCACTAAATGTCTAAAATATAAGTCACAAGAAATTTCAAATTTTGTCCTCATAAATGCAAATAACTCATCATTTTAATACCGTACTACCATTAATTTTCACTGCTAAAATTTGGGTGTAGTATTTGTCACATTTTTTAGTCGTAAATTTCTATTTTTTTTTATAAAAAAACAGTGATACACGTTAAATTTTGTGCATTCAAAAGCTCAGTATGTAGAATATCATTGGAGAATAGTTGATCTGCCAAGCAAATAACAACACGAAACGAAACACAGAAAAATGCCACCGAAATGAGGAATCTGAATCTGTTCTCTTACCAGCAAATAAAATGAACGAAAATAAGGTAATTTTATAACAAGAACATTTTCATTTCATATAGCAAATTGTGTTGTATCCGAACGACGATTGCATCGTGTGATTTAAATTTATCACGATTTTCCTTGCAGTCAATATGACACTCGTCACCTTGCAGATTGCAATGTACTTCACAAAGTTTTTGGTAACCAATACTCGCAACATTAAATAATTAAACAAGATATCTTTTTAAAATGTCATTTTACTCTTGGTCAGATTATTTTATTCCCCTTACCGCCTTGAATTTCAAATCGATTACATATCGAACTTCTGTACATGTGTTTTTCTCTACTACCTTTCCATGTGAAAATAATGAGGTCATATTCATGTCACAATACTTTGAAGCTGATGCCATGTTGATGCTATGAGACTGCGAAGCTGAGGCCATGATGATGCCACAAAATAAGCGAGACGAACACAGCTTCAATTTTCAATGACGCAAAGCTGATGTCACAATGATGCGATGCTGAGGCGACAATGAAGCCATGCGTAGGCGACAATGATGCCACAAAAACCAAAGCTTTTGCGAGAACTGTACTGTAACTATGGCGAGGCGTATTGTTTACTTTGATGTGTATCGTATATTAGCTAGTTATGATTCACTTTGTATGTAATACAATGATAAGAAATATTCACTTACTTCCTCAAAGTAGCTAAACAGAGGTTTGTATCCCTTGTTTTTGAGAGTGACACCCTTAAATCTGAAATTGAACAATTTGAAAATATTCAATATTTGATCAAGTGATTGAACTATTCTTTGGAGATCTAGTGTATATTTCACAACCATTCTTGACACTCACAAAGGTAAAATAGCAATGAGTAGCATACATATGTCGTCAGTTTCAGGGGTAGATCTAAAGTTTAAACTTAAAACAAACCCACCTGTCTAAGATGGTATACTCATCCTCTTTCTTAAAGAGTGCCACCAATCTAGCTTCCATCAAAATATAAACTTTGCTGTCTTTCTTGTGTTCTATCTTGACATAATCCATGTTGGGATGTACACACAAAGCCATGTTACTCGGTAACGTCCACGGTGTAGTTGTCCAAGCTATCATTGACACATTTGGATCTTCATCAAGTGGAAAATTCACAATGACTGAAATATTACACAAGGTAAATGGGTGAATGATAAAAATATGGTTTAAATGTATATTGCTCAGGAAATCTGAGCATTGTGTACTGGTTCTTGTCAAAAAATATCAGTAGAATGGTATCATGAAAAGAATAAGTTAAATTAAGTTATTATTATTTATAACCATGACCAGATTTGAACAGGTGGTTCACGCTGTTTTTGCTATGATGCGCACTCAATGCGGAGAAAAACAGAAGTGATCATAAGGCAAGATGGTGCAAGCCTCTTTGCTTTGGTCACATGTTGCATGATGTGAAAGAAAATCTATGAGGTCATTGGGCTTCCCCTGACCTTTTGTTCAAAATAGTCATTTTGACTGACCGGAGTCTATTGTGGGTAATTGAACGTAGTGAATTGACTCATTCATAGATCAGAACTAGTTTTTAATTATCTACCATGACAAGATTGAACAGGTTTTTTTTTTTATTAACATAAAATATACATTGTATTTTCAATAACAGAAATAACTCAACTATTCTACTTATTGATGCTGGTTCATGCCTACAAGTGTTTGTGTACATGTAGGTGAAACATAACAGAGTTGATTCTAGAGTAACCATGACAACCATACTACACACAACCACATAAATATCTCACCTGCTGGATCAACAACATCTTTATAATTTTGTCCGGATTCAAAGTTAGAAAGTGGAGTGTTGCAAGCTGTGGAGTAGGGCATTACCTTGAAAAAAAAAAACAATTGTTATTTATCCAATGTAAGTGGAGAGAGGGAAAAATGTTTTTTACACTTTGAGAGTAAAATCAAACCTGTGTTAGTGATTATCTCTATATAAAGACCACCTGCCTGTAGCGATAACCTGTCTATAGTGACCACTTTAAGACAGTCCTAAGACATAACGTATGAGCAACCTCTGTATAAAGACCACCTGCCTATAGTGACCACTATAAGACAGTCCTAAGACATAACATATGAGCAACCTCTGTATAAAGACCACCTGCCTATAGTGTCCACTTTAAGACAGTTCTCAAGCATAATGTATGAGCAACCTCTGTATAAAGACCACCTTCCTATAGTGTCCACTTCAAGA